CAAAAAGTTAGAAATTAAAACAAAACAAAAAGTTAGAAATAGAAATGCCATTTGACCCAGCAATGCCACTACTTGGAATAAACCCCAAAGAAACCAGAGCTGCCACCCCAACAGCTGTATGCACACCCATGTTTATTGCTGTGTTATTTGCAGTGCTAAAGAGATGGAAGCAACCCAAGTGACCATCAACAAATGAATGGATAGAAAATATGTGCTATATTTATACAATGGAATAATACACAGCACTGAAAAACAATTCATAAAATATCACACAACACGGGTGACTCTGCAGGACATTATGCTGAGTGAAATATCTCTGTCATAAAGGGACAAATATTGCATAGCACCACTGTTATAAAGCAGGTTTGAAACAAGGGTTTGGAAGGAGTATAGGATAAGAGTGGATAATGATCACTAACAGTTAGAAAACATTCCCAGAGAGAAAGAACCTCAACAATAAGAGGATAGTAAATTCTACTCTTTTGACCTTGGTGATGATCTTTCCAGAATGAAAATATGCATTCTATTCTTACCTCCAACAAAGATGTCACTATCCTCCCTAGGAAAGGGAAGAAACAAACAAGCACACAAAGAAGCCTATAAAACCTTCAAAGTTTTTCAAACATAATGTCCTTTTCTAAGACCTGACCCCTCCTGACAACATGCCCAAAGTATGTGAGGTCAAGTTTCACCATCCTTGCCTCTAAGGAGCACCTTGGTTGCACTTTCTCCAAGACAGACTTGTTTGTTCTTTTGGCAGTCTATGGAATGAATACTTCAGTATTCAGAATTCAGTATTCAGAATGAATACTTCATCAACACAATTCAAAGACATTGATTCTTCTTCTGTTAACCCTTATTTATTGTCCAACTTTCAGATGCATAGGCAATAATTGAAAAAAAAATGTGGCTTGGCTTAAGTGTATCATAGTCTTTAAATAGACACCATTGCACTTAAGTACTTGCAGAGGTCCTTGACAACAAATTTTCCCAATGGAGACAATTAATTTGCATCTTGAGGTCATTCTACCAAAAAATTATAAGGAGAATCTTAACACCTATACATTACCATATGTGTCTTATATATTTAATAACAACAGATCTTATGTATGTATTAATGGAACTGGGTTATATTGCTGTTACTTCTGAAGTAAAAATAAAGTCTTATATTCTACCACTAAAAAACCCTGAGGGAGCTCTGGTGGCCTAGTGGCAAGATGCTACACTGTAATCCCAGAGGTACACGGTTCAAATCCACCAGATGCTCTGCTGGAGAAGGAGGGGGCAGTCTCCTCCTGTACCAGTCAGATATGATTTGACGGTACATGTAAAAAATAATACAATAAGAATAAAACAAAAAAAAAACCAAAACCAAACCCAAAACACATTTTCACAGTCTCAAAAAGTTCAGTTGGACAGTGCTGACGCAGATTCTGTCTCTTTAAACCTTACTACAACTCAGAACATTTTTTTTTCTGGAACCACACTAAAAAAAAAAATCAACTGACTGCTGTCAAGTCAATTCCTACTCATAGTAACCTTGTAGGACTGAATAGAAGTGCCTCATAGGGTTCCCAACATCTTAATAGAAGCAGACAGCCAAATCTTTCTCCCTTAGAGCAGCTGGTGGATTTGAACTGCCAATGTTTTGGTACACAATCAAGTGTTTAATTCACAGTACCACCAGGGCCCCTTGGAGCCGTAGCACCTTGGTTCAGATTCTGGCTTACAGTGTGGCTTGGGGCAAATAACATCTCTGAACGTGTTTGTTAATCTGTAAAATGGATCCAAACCACTAGTCTTTGGTAGCAATAGGACCTGCTTCTGAAGATTGTTGTGAGGGCTGAGTTTTCAGATGTAAGGAGTAATTTATACCATGTGTAGAGTAGGCATTCAGCACACAAGAGCTAGCTTTATTGTTTTGGGTTATTCATCTCCACACTCTTGAAGATACAGTCAGGGAAAAGCCCATACTTTCCCTTCCCTTGCTCTGTCCCTTCTCCTTTCTTACCTTCTCCCCTTCTTTCCTCTGATTGATCTTGTCTAGAGAAAACCACAAGGGAAAGAGTGAGATCTAGTGCTAATTATCAAGCCCCAGGAATTGGTTTTGGAAAGATGGGCAGGCAGTTTCCTCCCATGTGATTAATTTCCTGTGAAAACCTGCTGGAAGATCAGTTATGCGTTGGTTCCAACTTGACGGCACATGAGTCATGGTAAATTATGTCAGACAAAACTGCCCCCCTCTGTTTCCCTTATTCCCAGAAAATTACAACCAAAAAATGTAGTCGTTTTATTTTCTCCCAGAGAATAAAAATAGTAATTTTTATTTATTTTTTTAAACCCCAGAATAAATGCCGTGTTCCTACAAGAGGTAACTCACTCATACTTTTTGCTGTCTAGTCGGAGCTGATTCTTAACAGAACCTCTGGTGGATTTCCAGAGGCTGTAAATTGCACAGAAGGAGATCACCCATCTTTCTCCCAAGGAGTAGCTGGTGGATTTAAGTCCCCATGCCTTTTGATTGATTGGCAGCGTAACTCCTTACACAGTAGGCCACCAGAGCTCACTCTACAGGGTTAGACTGACTTAGAAAGGAGCTTGACTAAGGAGAGATTTACACACACAAGCAATCAAGGCAGGAGCTACAAGAAGCTGCCGAGACGTTGTAATGAATTCATTACATTAAATATGAAATCAAAATGTAAATGAATGATTGGATGAAAAACCAATGATTTGTAAACTTTCACTTACAGAAATCTGTTTTTAAAAGAATGTTTTTAAAAAAAAAAAGAAAAGAAAAAAGAAGTGTGATTTTCACTGCCTCAGACTTGCCATGCAAATGAATTGCAGGAAAATTCTTCCCACATGAGTCATCCTCAGAGTTGGGAGAATAATCTTCAACTTGTCCTTTTTCCCCTCAGGCCTGCAGTGTGATTGTTGTGGAGGGAATTCTGCGTGTGGATTTAAACAGGAAGCGCCAGCCTGTTTTGAATATTTTAGGCTATCATGGAATCTTCAGTCAGGGAGTCTGAAAACTTTGTCTATTTAAAAGTAGCCTTTTTCTCTTTTAATACCATTTCTAAACTACAACAGAAGTGTACTTCTGGCATCTGTGAGAAGTGGAAATATTCAGTGTATAATAATGGGGGGGGAGGAGAGAGGGACCTTAAAAATGTTCAAATAGAGGAATTCTTGTCATTTTAAAAAATATCTTTATGCATGGTTTTCTTTAGTTATGTAGCAAAACCGTCACACATCCCATTTCTGTTTCTAGCCATGAGTGGAAAACAGTTAGTTGACCACGACAGTAACAAAAGCTTTAAAAGACTGCTTTCCTTTATGAACTATGTGCACTTAGGAGGAAAAGCATGTTTATTTTACTGTGCTGTGAGGGACAAGAACCTTTCTTAGATTGAAACATTTCTTTATATAGCCTCGGAGGGTGTAAATACACTGGGTGTGAGGTGTTTTTCTGAGGGTTTTAAAAACCTGATCAGTAGAAGAATCATCTGGGGAATTGCTTCCAAAAATGCTGATTCTTAGGCACCCTTCAGAACCTCCTAAGTTAGACTCCAGGAGAGAAGGTCTGAGGAATCAGCAGCTTAAATGAACATAAGAGGTTTCTGAGCTCAAAGCTCAAGGGCTTGAGATGTGGGACTTAGTTCATTTTCTAAATCCTCATCTTTTTCTGCAGAACCTTTACACAACTTGCCACCCGTCCTGTGGCTGGTGATGTAAGGTTTGACTCTGTCTTCTGCCAGTTGCTAGAAACCAGAATCCTCTGATAGGCAGTGGGGGGAAAATGCTAATGAGCACATTTGGTCAGTTTGCCCTGTGCTAGAGTGCTGTAATCATTGGGCAGAGAGAGGTGTATGTAATGGTCCAAGGAGATGATCACCAGCGTTGCTGATGCTGGAAGTCACTCAGAGGCACACAGTGGAATTAGTCACGTTAGAAAAGCAGTGGGCTGTAGAATTAGCTGTGATTGGAGAGAACTGGTAATGAAAATCAGAGAAGTCCAACTGGAGCAGGCAAGAAGTCTGAAGTGATTAGGATATGGGCAATGGGAATGTCACAGAGGGAGAGAATCCAAGAAGTTGCCCAAAGGGGAAAAATAACAGCTTTTGGTGATAGAATATAGACAAAGGAGGATGGGGAGTGATTTAAGAGTCTCTAATATGGAACCCCAGGGGAAATAAGCTCTGAGTGATAGGAATGGGGAAGACTAGAAGAAAAGGCTGTTTAGCAAGGAAGAAGTCTAGCATGGAATATGCTTTGGACCATGAATTTGAGATTAGGATTAAGAATCTCAAACGTAAAAATTCTATTGAGCAGAGGGAGTTAGGCATGGGAGAGGAATAGGGTGAGAGTGATTGAGTAAGAAACAGAAACATGCAAAGGGCTGGGGACAGGGTGTGAACAGCCTGGGAGCAGGAGGAGGGAGAAGAAGCCAGGAAAACAAAGGCAGGAACAGGCAGGGGGACCAGAGGAGGATCATGGAATTCAGTAGATGAGCATTTTCAAGAAACAGAAGATTCTATCATTTCTGTAGCTGTTTAAGATACTAATCAATTCAGTATACAATCACTGTATGCCAAAAAAGTAATATTCTTTTCGTACTACAGTCTGAAATGAAGCCACATGTGAAAAGTTTAAAAAGCTCCCCTGCCTAATTGCAAATATTGTTTCCGAAGGACATCTCCTTCAGTCATTTCTTCCCCTTGCTTCCCACCCCTTCCCCCAACACTCCCAAACTTACTTTCTTAAAAGAAATGCAAAGGGGAGCTCTGGTGGCCTAGTGGCAAGAAGCTGCACTGCAATCCCAGAGGCACACGGTTCGAATCCACCAGGTGCTCTGCCGGGAAAAGGAGGGACAATCTCCTCCTGTACTAGTCAGATCTGATTTGACAGTACATGCACACACACACACAAAATAATAAAATAATAATTAAAAAATTAAAAAAAAGAAATGCAAAAGGTTGTCTCACTTTATCTTGTAGGCACAGCAGCCTGGGAAAAATTCTTCAGTGTGAAGACATCTACAGTGAAGGTCAACGTATTGGTTGCTCCTTTAATCTGAAGGACCTCAGGGTGGAGCAAGGGAGCATCCAAATAATGGTCAAGGATAATGCAGGAAAGATCAGACCATCCTTCCATGTAGTGCCTTTAAATTCTAATGGTAAGTTTTTGAAGTCCTCGATGGTGATGGAGAAGAGAGTGTTACGTCTTTTGAACATCATAAAAAATGATGCTTGTAAAACAGAAAATGATGCTTATGGTCTTAAGATCTTCCCAAAACAATAAGAAACCATTGCTATTAAGTCAGAACCAATTCATAGCTGACCCTTCCAGTGAGTTTTCAGAGGCTGTAAGTTGCACAGGAGGAGATTGCCCGTATTTCTTCTTGGAGCAGCAGGTGGATTTGAATGATGCCTTTGGGATGGATAAAGGAAAAGATTGCAAAGGGAAAGATCTGACAGGTGGATAGTTTACTAGATGCTCCTCAGAAGAAAAGACTTAACAGTTTGTTCCAGTAAATTTTCAAAACCAATAATTCTTTAACTCATTGATATCAAGTCAGAACAGATTCATAGCTGACCCTCTAGGGGGTTTTTCAGAGGCTGTTAATACCATAAGAGAGTTCCCAGCTTTCTCCCCTGAAGCTGATAGTGGATTCAGACCCCCTGCCTTTGAGTTGGCAGCACAACTCCTTACCCATCAGACCATCCAAGCTCCCTGTTGCAGAAACACAAGATTGTTATCAGTTACCTTTCATTGATAAACACAAAGAAATACAGTGCTGTCCAGTTGGTTCTGAGTCCTAGCCACCTTCTGTCAAGTTTCTGAGGCCGTGAATGTTGAGAGATAACTGCATCATTGTTGTTTCCCAGAGGGGCTGGTAGATTCAAACTGCTGAACTTTCAGCTAACTGGACAAGCAAGCTTGTTGATTTTAATGTTTATTGAGTGGTTGTTTTGCCATAAATTTTGTTCCTGTTAACTTTGGAACATTCTAAATCGTGGACCCTGGATATCTGACTATTCTCTTGTGCATAGGATGCTGTTGCAGAAAAAATACAGCTCTATATACTTCAGAGTAGTTGGTGGTCTGTCCCACAATCAGCACTCGGCCTGGTTTTCACTGCTGATATTGAGCTTCTCTAGCGAATCTTTCCACAGATGTAATTGATTTGATTCCTATGCATACCATCAGGTGAAATCCATGTGTATAGCCTGCGTTTATGTTTCTTATAAAAAGTATTTGCAATGAATAAATCATTGACTATGCAGAAATCTATCATTCTATCTCCAGCCTCAATTCTCTCACTGAGCCCATGTTTTCCAGCTACTGATCTCACTTCCCTGTTCCCAACTTTTGTATTCCAGTCACCCATTATTATTAATACATCTTGATTGTATGTTTGATCAATTTATGACTGCAGAAGTTGGTAAAAATCTATTTCATTTAAAAAAATCTATTTCCTCTTCCTTGGCTCTAGTTGTTGGTGCATATATTTGAATGATAGTGGTATTCACTGGACTTTCTTGTATGCGTATGGATATTATCCTGTCGCTTACCACATTGTATTTCAGGATAGATCTAGAAATGATTTTTTTAATTATGAAACCAACCCCATTTTTTCTCACCTTTTCATCCCCAGCATAGTAAATCATATACTCATCTGATTCAAACTGTCCCATGCCAAGACATCTCATTTCGCCAATACATAGTATGTCAATATTTATGCGTTCCATTTCTTTCTTAACAATGTCCAATTTTCCTACATTCATGCTTCTTAACATTCCACGTTCCGATCACTAGTGTCGCCTTACAGCTGTTTCTCTTTCTCCGCATTTCCATTTCTAAGATCTCAGTTTCAGTTGCCATGTATGCTAGTCCAAGCGATAGACTAAGTGTGCTCTGTTGTACATAGGGTTTTCGAAGGCCTGTAATTTCAGAATTGGATGGCCAATCCTTCTTCCTAGTCTGTCTCAATTTTTAAATATATATAATAGTATCTGACAGACAAGCATTCTACAGAAAAAAGTAGATGAAAGACATTTACCGGTTAGAAAGACCAATATTTAATGTTGCTGCCCACCCGGCTACATGTTTGGTTGGTTTTGAGTTTTGGGGTTTTTTTTGTTTGTTTTTTGGGGGGTTGTTTTTTTTTTTAATCCACCCTTTCCCTGCTCCACCACCAACCCTTCCTACTTTTGCTTACAACATTCAACACCCATCTCCCATTGACCAGCCCCTGATGTAATGTCCTAAGTCTCAAGCAATCAGGATTTCTCTGATTCTGACCATATCATGCTGCTGTCAGTCTCTTATGATGCGGTCACTATGACTTCAATTTAACGTTCTTAAGTGCAACTGTCATGTACAGCTTCTTTTCCTGGAAGATCCTGAGAAAAAGGTCTCTTAAGCTTCCACTCCAGGATTGACTTCTTGTGGGTTAGTACCACTTGTCTTCTGTTTGCAGCCTGCTGCTGATGCAAGCAGATGGCTTCCCAGTAGAGAGAATGTGTCCTCCAGGACCAGTGTACAATTTTTAGTTCTTGGCCCGAGGGCCTGTGGTGTCCTCGGGGGCCCCCTCCTGTCTTTCCGTGGGGTACCTGGATGAGGCATGAAGATGAGGAAAGCTCTGCCTCTGTCCCTGTCCTGGATTCCCAAAACTAATTCTCTTGCAAATGGTGTCATATGCAAATTCAAGCTGAAGTTGAGGAAAATTAAGTCTGTGAGAACCAAGTCTGTCCCACTCAAATTTCAAAACCATCTCAGTAACAGATTTGAGGCCTTGAGCACCAATGAGCATAGACCAAATGAGCTCTGGGAGGATATCAAGAAAATCGTCCATGAAGAATGCAAAAGATCATTACAAAGGCTAAAGAAGAAGAAAAGACCAAGATGGATGTCAGATGAGACTCTTGAGTATTGCATTAGAGCACCGAGAAGCCAAAGCTAAAGGAAGAAATCAAGAAATCAAAGAGCTGAGTAGAAAATTTCAAAAGGCAGCTTGGGACGACAAAGCAAGATACCATAATGAAATGTGCAGAGAGCTGGAGTCAGAAAATCAAAAGGGCCGGACTTGCTTAGTGTTTCTTAAGCTGAAGGAGTTGAAAAACAAATTCAAGCCATGGGTGGCAATACTTAAAGATAGTTTGGGTAGAATGTTGAATGATCCAGGAAGTATCAAAGGAAGATGGAAGGAGTACACAGAGTCACTGTATCAGAAGGAATTGGCTGACAGAGGAATTTCATGAAATAACATATGAGCAAGAACCTATGGTGATGGAGGAAGTTCAAGTAGCTCTGGAGGAATTGGCAAAAAACAAGGCTCCAGGAGTTGACTGCATACCAATTGATTGATTTCAACAAACAGACGCTGCCCTGGATGTGCTCTCTAAGTTGTGCCAGCCAGCTGGCCAACTGACTGGAAGAGATCAATATTTGTTCCCATTCCAAAGAAAGGTGACCCAGCAGAATGTGGAAATTATCGAACAATATCATTGATATCACATGCAAGCAAGATTCTGCTGAAAATTATCCAAAAACGTTTGGAACAATATGTCAACAGAGAACTGTCAGATGTGCAGGCTGGATTTAGAACAGGTTGTGGTACAAGGGATATTGTAGCTAATGTTAGATGGATCTTGGCAGAAAGCAAAGAATACCAGAAGAATGTCTATCTGTGCTTCATTGACTATGCAAAAGCTTTCGACTGTGTGGATCACAACAAGCTATGGATTACTCTGAGAAGGATGGGAATCCCAGAACATTTGATTGTGTTAATGCGAAACCTATACTTGGACCAAGAGACAGTCATTAGAACAGAGCAGGGAGACACTGGATGGTTCAAAATCAAGAAAGGAGTCCGTCAGGGATGTATTTTGTCTCCATACCTTTTCAATCTGTATGCAGAGCAGATCATCTGAGATACTGCGGCTGTACGAGGAGGAATGTGGCATCAGGATTGGTGGAAGAATCGTCAACAACCTGAGTTATGCAGATGACACAACCCTGCTCGCTGAAACTGAGGAGGACCTGAAGTGCTTGCTGCAGAAGGTCAAGGACTTCAGTCTTCAATACGGATTAAAGCTCAATATCAAGAAAACAAAGATTGTCACCACTGGGCCAATTGGCAGCATCAGTATGGATGGTGAAGAGATTGACGTAATTCACAGTTTTAGTTTACTTGGCTCCATAGTCAACACTCTTGGTAACAGCAGCCAGGAAATCAGGAGACGAATTGCATTGGTAAAGGCAGCTGTGAGTTACCTCTCAAGAGTACTGAAGTGCAACGACATCAGGCTGGAGACTAAGGTGCGCCTGATCCAGGCTATAGTCTTTGCAATTACGTGCTATGCATCAGAGAGTTGGACAGTGAATAGGGATGATAGAAAGAGAATTGATGCCTTTGAGTTGTGGTGCTGGAGAAGAGTGTTGAATATGCCATGGACTACTAGGAGAACAAACAGGTTTGTCCTGGAGAGGGTGAAGCCAGAATGTTCCCTGGAGTCAAGGATTCTGAAGCTTCATCGAAAAACTTTGGGCATGTTGCAAGGAGGGACTGGTGTTTGGAGAAGGACATCGTATTTGGGAGAGTGGAGGGACGGTGCAGGAGAGGAAGACCCTTGAGATGGATCGATTCTGTGAGTGGAGTGGTGGGAATTAATGTGTTTGAGACAGCGAGGTTGGCACAGGATAAAACGGCGTTTAGGGCTCTTGTACATAGGGTTGCTATGAGTCGCAAGTGACTCAATGGCACATAACAAAACCAACAACAATACTTCAAATGTTGTCTATCCCTTAGTTAGAAAGCATTTAGAATCACAATAGTATGATGTTGTTGTTAAGTGCTGTCAAGTCGTAGGCGACTCATAGCAACCCTATGAATGAAAGTGCTCAACACTTGTGTGACTGTCATTCTCTCTCCAGGTTCATAGGGTTTCCAGAGGCAAGCTATTAATGGAAGTGGATGCCACTCCTGCCTCCAAGCTTGTTTTAATTAGGGAGCTCCACCAAACACTGTCCACTATGGGTAACCATTAACGCATTTGACACATCAGTGTCACAGTGTTCAGATTCACAGCAACCACAAGTTACCTCTGTACGGCAAGATATAGAAGGGATAATTTTTAATATGTTTGTTAAGAAGCTGCACTGCAATCCCAAGGCTCATGGTTCTAATCCACTAGCAGCTCTGCGGCAGGATGGACAGTCTCCTTTTGTGCAATTTACTGCCTCTGAAAACCTGCTGAAGGGTCAACTATGAGTCGATTTCAACTTGACAGCATACAACAACAACAACATGACAAAAGAACAAACAGATATGTCTTGAAGAAAGTGCAAACCAGGTGCTCCTTAGAGACAAGGATGGTGAAACTTCTTCTCACGTACATGGGTCATCCTGTTAACAGGGACCAGTCCTTGGAAGAAGAGATTGTGATTGGAAAGGTGGAGGGTCAGAGAAAGAGAATAAGATCTGTAATAAGATGGATTGATACAGTGACTGCAGCAATCAGCTTGAGTATATCAAAGATGGTAAAGATGGCAGAGGATAGGACAGGGTTCAGATCTGTTGTACATAGGGTCACTATGGGTTATAGTCAGCTTGACAGCACCTAACAAGAACAATATAGTATAGGCACTAAGTAATAAAACAACCAGTGTCACCATGCTAGGGCATAGCAGTTATTAGAAAGCCCTTAGATTGAAACCAAAATATTTAGTTGAAGTCCCAGCTCCTCCACTTGGGACAAGGCATATAAAACCTCTGTAAGTGGCTCTTGGCTGTAAAATGAGTATGTGGTTCCTCTTGACCACACGGCTTCTTCTGAGTTCTAAACAACATAAGGTATGCACGAACATTCTGTAAATTTCTAAAGCAGAACACTATAAGCATGAGGATTTATTATGTTGTAATAGCCTATTAGGAAGTTTGGATTCTGTCAAAATGATCCACAGATGGCGTGTGAACAAAGAGTCATCAACTGAAAAAGGCTCCCAAGCTTTCAAGCAAAACACCATTTAACATGCTTTCCGATAGTTGTGGAAGCGAGTTCTAATCGCGGACCAAAGTCAGGTTGGTTTGTAGGTAGGGAGAGGTCAGGGCAGTGTGTTGAGGAAGAGCATTGAAGTAGAGCGCTTCCCATTCTTCCCCTTTGCTTGATGCATTGTTCTCAATGTTCCTTTTTTTTAAAAAAACCACCTCACTTTGTTGCTCTTCTTACAGTATTAATAGTGACATAAAAGAAGATCCTTCTCGGCCAGAAGATTACATCTCCAAATCAGTTTTTGTTCATTACTCATACTTATGTATTGCTTGACCTTATTATGCATAGCTGAGTCTGGAAACCAAATTGATGAGCAAAGGAATCCTGTTAACACTAATGGTTAAACATTTATCTGTTACCAAAAAAGTTGGCAGTTCAGATCTGCTGGTCTACATGAGAAAGACCTGGCCATTCTTGAAGATTATGGCCCTCTGGTGTGGCCTAGTGATAAGAAGCTGTGCTGCAATCCCAAAGGCACATGGTTCAAAACTACCATCTGTTCTGAGGGAGAAGGATGGACAATCTCCTTCTGTGCAGTTTATTGCTTCTGAAAACACGCTCGCTGAAAGGTCAGCTATGAGTTAGTTTCAACTTGACATTACACAATAACAACAAACCCCATAGGGCAGTTCAACTGAGTCACATGTGATTGTGTCAGAACTGACTTGATAGCACATAACAATAGCAGTACTTTTAAATTGTCTTTGATTGGCATGAATGAATGACAAATGGGGAAACTCCTTGTACCTGATGTCTTATATCTATCATTGGAAGTGCATTTGGAACCCAGCACTTCCCCTCCGAGTTCTTTGTGTTACAGTTGGATGTCCCGTTGACAACCTGTCTCCTTTTCTGACCACTTGCAGGTCAGAGTTCATGTCATTTGCCACATGTTCCAGAGAACTCTTTAAGTTCATTTTCCTAGACAATTTTAAATACATTTTCTCCATTAATCACAGCTAACCAAGAATTTTAGACCTATATGTCTAATCATATAACACAATTAAAAGCATCAGCTCTATTTTAATTTATGACTCATTATCTAGACTCATATATGTATCTCATCAAAATAAATGCTAGAAGCTTATTTGTGTTTTCCTGCTTCTGTCTTTTAGTGAAACCTGACCCTCCACATATTAAAAATCTCTCCTTCACAAACAATGAATTGTATGTGGAATGGAAGAATCCTGAGAATTTTAAGAGCAACTGCTTATTTTATGAAATAGAAGTCAATAATAGCCACATTGATACACAGGTTTTTCCGGTAAGTTTTCTTTTCCCCTTTTAATTTGATTTTATTTTGCCATTTGTCTTTCCACTTGGAATTTGCCACCATACAATAAATTATCAGTGGAATGTTGTAGCTTTTAGGTTTGCTTTTAGGCTGCTAATAAGGCATGAAATAGGGCATGTTAGAAACCTCAATTACATAGATTGACATGTGACTGTAACAATGGGTTCGAGCATATCAGAGTTGGCTGAGGATGGTATAAGATATGGCAAGGTTCTGATCCATTGTTCACAGGTTCACTATGAGTTTTAATCAGCTTGACAGCACATACTAACAAAGAAGGATTTAGGATTTATGGAAGTTTTTGGTTTCCCGGTTCAAGACATTTAGTAATTAATTTGCTCAACATTTTTTCTTAAGTACCTACCATGTGCCAGACATTGTTTTATTTGTTTGGTTGTTGTTTTTTAAAAAATGACATTTTGTTTTGTGATATTAGCAAACATTTACAGAGAAGTTAGATTTTCATTGTTGCACGTTTTACTCCCTCTCCCTCCCCCAGTTCACTTTTTTTTTAAAAAAAAATATTCATTGTTGCACAATTACCTACATCCCCACCTCCCCCCAAGTCCTCTTTGCAGTGCTATGTCTCTTATTCTGGGCTGTTGTCATATGTATAATGCCTAGCCATATTCATTTTAGACAGTTATTTCCTTCATCTCATCTGGTCCAATACAATGGTCATTATCCATACACTCTTAGCGTATTCTCCTTCCAACCCCCTATGTCAGACCTGCTTTATAACAGTGTGCTATGCAGTATTTGTCCTTTTGCAACTGAGATATTTCACTCAGCATAAGGTCCTCCAGAGTTACCCATGTTGTGTAATGTTTTACGAGTTTAATATTCCACTGTATGAATATATCATCATTTTTCTATCTGTTCGTTTGTTGATGGGCACTTGAGTTGGAGTTCTCAATTCCATACCATTGATCTATGTGGCCAGACATTGTTTTATGCGTTATAGATAAGTGAGTGAGCATGACACATGGCAAGAAAAGTTGGGTGCTCCCCTCAGTGAAACTTACACACTAGAAGATAAGTTTGTCAATGAATTGGCTAATGTCTCAGAATAGGTATTAACAAAGGAAAAGAAAATGAAGTAATGTAACTGAGAATGACTGGGAGACCCTGAGGAATGTTAGGGTAGTTTTCTCAAGTGATGACATTTGAGACAAAACCAGAAAGATGAACAAGAGCAAGCCGTATGAAGATACAGGATAGAAAGAAAAGCAAGTATGACAATTCCATGACAAGAATGAAGTGTGCACATTTGAGAAGCAGAAAAGCTAACAATGTGACTAAAATGTAGTCAGAAAAGATGTCTAAGAAGTTGACAAGATTAGGTCAGGTTTTTATTTGGAGGCTCTGGGAAGGCCATTCAGTTGTCTTGAACTTGTGGCAATGTAATCTAATTCAAGTAGTCAACATTTGTTGCATTATATATGCTATTCAGATTCCAACATAAAACCTAATTATCCTGCAGGGCATTCCAGAATGTGACATAATCTCAGGGCATCTGCCCTTTGAAGTAGAGGTCACAAAGTAGGGCCTGTGGCAACTTTTTGTTGAATTACTAAGTGGGATTTTGTTTATGACCTTTGCCAGGTCTACCCCCCAAGCATGAAAATTGTGTTACCTGAGAAGTGTAGTTTCCATAAGGTGGCGCCTGAAGACCAGTAGGACTGCTCTGGTCGATTGTTGACTACCTGCCTGGCCCTGTGTGCATTTGGGCTTTAGAGATTTGAAACCAAATGTTGTGTATTGCCTTTTGAAGGAGTCCAGTATCTTGCACATGGGCAAATGCCATGATACAGTTGTTTTAGCTCGTGCTGGGAGTTTCAAAATGCTTATTAATATAATTTACTGCTGATAGTCTGTCACTTGAGAGGGAGTGACCAGATCCACAGCTGAACAGAACCATCCTGGGCATTTCCAAATGACCTTGTCTCCTGAAATATAATAATGATCCTTAGGACTGGAAACCACAGTGTCTCCACACAATACTAGAAGGAGAGGGACGCAAAGGATACCCACGGGGTGGGGGGGGGGCGGTGATGCTTAGACTTACAACAAAGTGAGTTGAAATGTGCTTGATGACTTCAGCCTTTACTGTCTTCTCTCTGAAGTCGTGAAACATACTACTTATATGACTCACTTTTGACAGTGAATTCGGCTCTGCTCTTTAACCTGGGCACGTGCATGTGCCTTGTGTCCCTATTAAAAAGGTAAGCTCTGCTACATTGAAATTAGGAGGTATTTACTGTGTGCTCTTTCTACTGCTAATACATACTTTCAAGTATTGAGTGATTGATGGATAGTAGGTACTTTGCTAGGGAGCTCTGGTGGCCTAGTGATAAGGAGTTCTTCTGCCAGCCCACAGGCACACAGTTCAAATCCACCAGCTGCTCCATGGGAAAAAGATGGGCAACATTTCCCTGTGAGATTATATTGCCTCTGAAAACCCACTGGAGGGTCAGCTACATATTGATACCAGCTTGAGGGTACATAACAACAGCAACAAAAATAGGTTCTTTGATGAATACTGCATCTGCATGATCTCATTTAATCCTTATAGTAACCCTAAGGAGACAGATCTTGTTATTTTGTTTTTATAGTCACTGTGTCAAACCATATTGTTGGGGGTCTTCTCCTTTTCCCTGATGCTCCATCTTTGCCAGCACGATGTCTGTGAGGTGATGTCATGAAAAAACTTCCTAGCTGTCTGGGTTAGCTCTGTCTTCGCTTTGCAACATCGCCTTACAGATGTCTTTTATCAAGGACTGGCCCCTCCATGCCCAAAGAACATGAGATAGCATTTCACCATCCTTATCTCTAAGGAACGTGCTGGCTTCACTGCCTCTAAGATTCAGGCCACATGGATAACAAGTCACTGTGATGTTTTTATATGTCGCACTTCTGCAAAGAATATGTATAGCATTATGTGTATAATCATCACATAGTATAAGCCTTGTTGAAAGAGTTAAATTTTGTACAAATGTTGGAACTGAAGAAACCACAAACACTGTGGGAGTTAGCCACCTAAGTCAGAACTCCTAGTCTATCTGGAATTGTTTATTTCTTCCAATTTAGTGTCCTCTCTCCTAGCCAGATGCTTACCATCTGCTTCCTCCCATGGGGTGTCATCAGCTCTTTCTGTACTCACTGATTTTAAGCAATGCTGGTTAAACCCTTTATAAAATTTTTACAAGACTTTCTGAGAAATTATGCTGTTTAGTGTTCCAGTTGCTAGTGTTCCAGTGGGGAGCTCTGGTGGCCCGGTGGTAAGAAGCTGTGCTGCAATCCTAAAGGCACATTGTTCAAATTCACCCTCTGCTCTGTGGGACAAAGAGGAGCAATCTCCTCCCCTGTGATTTACTGTCTCTGAAAACTCTCTGGACGGTCGGTTCTGACTCACCAGGACACAACAGTAACAGTGTTAGAGGTGTGAGGATGATGACAGATAGGACAAGGTTTTGATAGGGACACTAGGAGTAGTAGTCGACTTGACAGCACTCCACATGGCCATGGTCAGAGGTAGCATTTAACAGAATCCTGGAGTCAAGAATGACTTATCTTTGACCGCCCTCTATCCCTGCAAACTACTGGTTGGGATTCTGAGCCCTCTCTCCTTCTTTTCTTTCAATGTTGCTGTTGCTGTTGTGGTAAGTGGCCATGGAGTTGACGTTGACTTATAGTGACCCTATGAACTGCAACTCCAAACTTGCCCTGAGATTTACATTTGAACAAAAGCCTAGATGTTTAAATCTGTGCAGTAATTTGCTGACTTTGGAATTTGGGAGATGGTCCAGCAAAGAGAGAAAGAGACTGAGAGCGAGAGAGAGACAGAGACAGACACAGAGACAGAGAGAAACAGAGAGAGACAGAGACAGATATATGTATAAGTCCATAGGGTTACATCTCTAGTAGATGAGAGCAAGTTTTCCAAGATAGTTGTGCCAGTTGACTCTACTTACAGCAGAAATTGAGAATTCCAGATATTTCACATCCCCACCAGCTTTTGGTATTGTGTGGTGGGTGTGGGCATCAGTATCTTATGGTTTTTATTTGCATTTTCATGATAACTAATGAGGTAAAACACTTTCTCATATGCTTATTGGCAATATGCATATGCTCTTGTATAATGCCTTTCTCAAGTATTTTGCCAGGTTTTCTGTTGGACTCTATTAGGTTGTCTGCCTTTTCCTTATTAATTTGTAGCAAATGTGTGTATAAGTATGTGGTATATAAAATAACAAATTGTTTTTGTTGTTGATGTGTGCTGTAGAGTCAGAACCAACTCATAGCTAATCCTCCAGTGGGTTTTCAGAGGCAGTAAATTTCACTAGAGGAGATTACCATCCTTCTCCCAGGGAGGAGCTGGTGGATTTGAACTGTGGTTATTTGAGATTGCAGCATGGCTTCTTAACACTAGGCCACTAGAGCTCCCTATTATGAAAATATGATATTATATATTATGATATAAATATTATATGATATAAAAATTAATTAAAATAAGTTATAGAATCTGCCTCCCAGCTTTGTCCCAAAGAATTGCAGGCTCTGCCTTGATACATGGGTTTCTGGGAGAGGTGAGCGTACCTGTTTAGTGTGTGGGGGGGGACGTCCCTGCCTCCTGTGCCTGGTTTTCTCTCCTGAACCTCCTCTTCCCTGCCACACTGCTTCTGCCTCCCAGACTTGCCCTGAAGAATTTCCAGCTCTGCCTTGATCCGCAGGGTATACGGGTTGATATATTTCAACAAACAGATGCTGCCCTAGATGTGTTCACCAAGTTGTGCCAAGAAATCTGGAGAACAACCACATGGCCAACTGACTGGAAGAGATCTATATTTGTTCCCATTCCAAAGAAAGGTGACCCGACAGAATGTGGAAATTATCAAACAGTATCATTAATATCACATGCACGCAAGATTCTGCTTAAGATTATCCAAAAATGACTGGAACAACACATCAACAGAGAACTGCCAGAAGTGCACGCTGAGTTTAAAAGGGGTTGTGGTACTAGGGATATTGCAGCTAATGTCAGATGGATCTTGGCTGAAAGCAGGGAGTACCAGAGGAATGTCTGTCTGTGTTTCAGCAAAGGCGTTTGACTGTGTGGATCACAACAAACTGTGACTTACTTGGAGAAGAATGGGAATCCCAGAACATTTGATCATGCTTATGTGAAAACTATACTTGGACCAGGAGGCAATCATCAGAACAGAGCAGGGGAACACTGCATGGTTCAAAATTGGGAAGGGTGTATTCCAGGGATGTGTCCTATCTTCATACCTTTTCAATCTATATGCAGAATAGATTATCTGGGTGGCTGGATTCTATGAAGAGAAATGTGGCATCAGGTATGGAGGAAGACTCATCAACAATCTGTGTTACACAGATGACACAATCCTGCTTGCTGAAATTCAGGAGGACCTGAAGCGCTTGCTGCAGAAGGCCAAGGACTGCAGCCTTCAATATGGATTGAAGCTCAATATCAAGAAAACAAATATTCTCACCACTGAGCCAATTGGCAGCATTTTGATGGATGATGAAGAGATTGAGATTGTGAACAGCTTCCAATTGCTTGGCTCCACAATCAACACTCTTGGCACCAGCAGCTAGGAAATTAAAAGACATATTGCATTGGGAAAGTCTGCTGTCAAAGACCTCTCCAAAGTACTGAAGAGCAACGATGTCAGTCTGGAGACTAAGGTGTGTCTGATATAGGCCATGGTCTTTGCAATCACTTGCTATGTATCAGAGAGCTGGACAATGACTAGAGATGATAGGAGAATTGATGCTTTTGAGCTGTAGTGTTGGAGAAAAGTATGAATATACCATGGACTGCTAAGAGAATGAATAGATTCATCCTGGGGAGGCTGAAACCAGGCTGCTCCTTGGAGGCAAGGATTCTGAAACTTTGTCTGACATACTTTGGACATGTTGCAAAGAGGGACCAGTCCTTGGAGAGGAACACCATGCTTGGGAGAGTGGAGGGATAGCGCAAGAGAGGAAGACCCTCGATGAGATGGATTCCTTCAGTGACTGGGGTAATGGGGTTAGGTGTCTCAGAGACAATAAGATTGACACAGGATAGGGTAGGGTTTAGGGCTGTTGTACATAGGATAGGTATGAGTCACAGGGAACTCAGTGGCACATAACAGCAGCAGCAACAACAAGGTATATAAAATACATACAAGCCTTTCATCATGAATTACAACTATCTTGTCTCACACTGTACATCGCTATTTAATTTTCTTAATATGATATCTTTTTCTGAGCAAAAGTAGTTTTTCATTTTAACATAGCCCACTTTATATTTTCTTTTGTGACTAAATTTTTCCAAATTGTTCTGTTTAAGAAAAGTCTTTTCCCTTTCAAGGGGGGAAAAAAAGAAGAATGAACTGGGCAGGAGGGTAGAGAAAATAGTGCAACAGTGAATGAATGAAAACCCAAAATCTCTGTAAATGTTCATTAAAAGTAATAAAATTTAATATAAAAAAAGTCTTTTCCAACTTCATGACCATGAAATTATTCAACATTTTCATTTAAAAGCTTGCCTTATTTTATCTATTTGTTCATTTCTTTGACCATTTACATTTACAGCTGCAGTTCATCTGAAATTTATATTGTATATCATTGTGAGGTGGTTGTTTTTGCTATTGTGTGTTTTCGAGCTGGGCCTGACTCATAGCTGACTATCCATCAGAATTTCAGAGGCAGTAAATCTCAGAGGAAGAGATTACAGATTTTTTTGCCTGGAGCAGCTGATTGAATCAAACTGCCTGCCTTACCACAGTGTGAGATAGAAGACAATATTCTTTTTTTCTTATGTACATATATATATAATTGACTGAGAGCCACTTATTAAAAAATCACACTTTGTTTATTACAACCGGGTCTTCTTTTAATGAGATAAAAGGGAAGCTTGTTTGAAACGATTAAATGACATAACGTGTGTTTCTTGAAAATTTGAATTCATCCTTCTTTTTTCTTTTTTTGTCTTTCAAGATTGAAGACATCAAATGTCTGATTTCAGAGGTCAGTACATTCAGATTTCACTATTTGGACTGAGATTTACAATTGCTGAGAGCAACTGGTGGTGGGGCAACATGGGCAAGAGCCTAAATTTGTGTAACTCTGCAGGGATAAAGAAAAAAAACAAAACAAACCCCACTTTGTTCTGTGAGTTGTTCCCATTTCCCGCTCCCCAACCCCACCAGGAGTCAAAGTCCAATCTTTTGAACTGGTATGACAGTTGTCATCATATGCAGAATTTGACAGATAATTTTCTCAGGAGTCAGTAGCAGAGAAAGAGAATGAACAGCTAATGCTCTGTGTACTTTTCTTTTCTATCCAAGGGGAGAGTCTGTTTCTCCATTCCCAGTGCTCTTCCTGATACTTTGAACACAGTGAGAGTAAGAGTGAAAACAAGTAGATTCTGCTTCGAAAGTGACCACCTCTGGAGTGATTGGAGTCCAGCAATGAGTATAGGTAAGAGAACAAGACTGAATTCAAATTTAAGGCATCCATACATGGAAGTGAAACTAAAGCAGAAGGTAGACTGAGGGAAGGGGATCTTCTGTGTACTTGATGCCAACCAGAGAGTAGTTACTAGTGACCTTTTTATCTATATAATTACTGTCCAATCACCAAAGAGCATATTTATATTTCCAAACAGCAGTCTGCAATCCAAATGATGTTTCCTCTCCTCTGCCCTGTCTTCCATTTTTATTAATAACCTGAACAAAAAATACAGCAGGCTTTGGTGGTTATTGTTAAGTGTTACTGAGTCGACTATAACTCATAGCGAACTCTAAGATCTGTGCCTTGCCCTGTCCTTGCTGCATCCTCATGTTCTCCACCACACTCAAGCCCGTTGTTGCAGTCATCCCATCTCCTTGAGGGACTTCCTCTCCTTTGCTAATCCTCTAACTTCCCCAGCATGATGTCCTTTTCTAAGGATTACTCCCTCCTGATTACATGCCAAGACTATGTGAGATGTAGGTAGGCAAGCGGATGCAAAGTAGTCATTAATATGATGCTGGAGGGCTGGCATGTGTGCTAGATTACAGAATCAAGAGTGGAACAATGACTGTGGTTGTACTTAATGAGATATACCTATACCTGGGTTTGGAAAAAAGTCAGCAATAATAGTAGAGCACCCAGAAAAGGGAATGCTGATGGGTGGAGCACAGAAGCCTGGCCAGATCAGAAATGTGTAGCTTTTTATTCTAGGCACCATGTTATAGGAGATACAGAGACGGATTGGAATCTCTCCTTGAAAGGATATGCAGGATGTTCCAAAAACTCAAAATAACTTTGAGAAATCATGATTGCTGACTTGTACTAATATTTGAGGTGTTGTCAAACAGAAGGAAGGAAGGTTCAAGAAAGCAAAATAGGGCAACTTAAAAACTATTAAACAACCATCTCTTGAATAGTTAGATGACTTGGTTAGGTAGTTGTTATGCACCATTAAGTTGGAACCAACTCATAGCAGACCTCCCAGTGGGTTTTCACAGGCAGTAAATCTCATTGCCCGTCTTCCTCCTGGGAAGCAGCTGGTGGATTCAAACTGTGTTCCTTTGGGTTAGCAGCACAACTCCTTGCAACTAAACCACCTCCCTGATAAGTTAATTAGTTCCCTCTTAACTGAAAGACTGAGCAAGCTGTGTTCTGGGTATGGTTATAGTAGTTCCTGATTACAGTATAGAGTGCTGGAGGCCTAGTCCAGAGAGAGTTGTGCTGCCAAGCAAAAGATTGACTCTCTGAGAGTTCAAATCCACCAGTAGCTCTGTGTCAAAACAATGGGCAGTCTCTTCCTATGTGATTTACAGAGTCACCTCTGAGTCAGTTCCAACTCAATGGCAGTGAGTGCATGATTGAGTGATTACTATATAACAAATTACCCCTCCAGTTTAGTGGCTTAAAAGAAAGTGCATTTGTTATCTCTAAGTTTTTTGGGCTCAGAAATATGAGTTCATCTTAGCTAAATATCTCTGTCTCAAGAACTGATAAGAAGATGTAGTCAAGCTATCTCCTAAGGCTGAAGTGTCAAGCTGAAGGCCTCTGGGGCTGAAGAATCACTCCCAAGCTCACTCATGTGGTTGTTGGAAAGCCTTAGTTCCTTGCTGGCTTCTGGATGGATGACTGCCTTCGTTCTTAGCCACTTGGAGTACTCCACAGAACTGCCTCATGATATGGCAGCTGGCTTTGCCAAATGAGTGGGCCAAGCAAGAGCGAGATTATGTAAGAGCACATCCAGTATGGGAATCTCTGCCTTTTATAGTTTAATCGCAGAAATGTCCTTCCCTCATTCTTTAGAAATCATTAGTTCAGTCCTCATTTAAAGAGAGTCAGAGTGTGAATACTCGACCAGAAAGAAGGTGGCAATCATTTGACCCATCATATTATTCTTGTTATGTTCTGTTGAGTCATCTGCAACTCATAGTGACCCTATGTACAACAGCTCTGAACCCTGCTCTGTCCTGCGCCTATTTAATCATCTCTGACACACCTACCTCCATTACTGCAGTCACTGAGTCAATCTGTCTCATCCAAGGTCTTCCTCTCCTGTGCTGTCCCTCCACCCTGGGCCATCCTAGAGGCTGCCTAATACAATGGTGCTAAGCCCTGATGACACTTTCTAAGTGCTCATGGTTTAGTGGGAAAGATAAATGTATATAAATAGACAGATACTATTTTACATGTTAGGTATAGCAAGGCAATCACTGATAGATGTTAGAGTTGAACAGTGCTGGATTTAAGGCCTGACTCCTTCTCATCTGTCTGCATAAGAATAGCTAAATGTGGAACTGGATCTGTATGACTAATTGACTAGGGAATGGGGAGAACTAAGGAAAGGTTTATACACAGAAACAGTCGTGGGAGGATTGTTAGGGATGGGAAGAGAGGGAGAGGGGAGCAGAGAGTAGCCAATGGATGGGATGGGTGAAAGGAAGGGTAAGGTGCTGTGAGGACTTGGCAAGGCATTGTAATAAATGACATTGATCTATTTTAATGAATGTTAGAAAACAAAATGTATATGAATGGTTGAATGAAAACTGATATAAAAAGAATATGTACCATGGAAAGTCACCTCCCATGCAATTAACTGCCTCTGACAACCTGCTGGAGGGTCAGTTATGGGTTGTTTCCAACTTGATAGTACCCAACCACCACCACTATAGTAGAAATTCACCAGCTCCTCTGAAGGAGAAAGCTGAACTGTCTACTCCTATTAAAATGTATGGCCTCAGAAAACTGATGGAAGACCACTGTGAATTGGAACTGACTCAGTGGCGGTGAGTACAGATTAAATGGAATAAAAGCATGTAAATGGACCTAATATGGTGTAAGAAAAGGCACCTGGATGGTATTTGCCCTCAAATACAAAAAGAAGGGTTAGTGGCTCAAACCGTCCTAGCAGTGCCATAGAAGAAAAAAAGTCTTGTGATCTGTTTCTCTACAGATTATAGCTAAGAGAAAAGTATGGAATAGCTCTGCTGTGTAACATGTGTGTCGCTATAATCGAGGAATGACTTGATGGCAATTGATTTGGCTTGATTTATGGTGTCAGAAATATGTTATGGTTAAGTACTGTTGAACTGATTATAATTTGCAGCAATCCTATGAACAGTAGATTGAAATCTTGCCTGATCCCTGTGCCATCCTCAAGATCTCTACCCTGTTTATCCCCATGACTGCAGTCACTATGCCAGTCCATCTGATTGAGGATCTTCCTCCTCTTTGCCGACCCTCCACCTTCCCCAGGGGAAAAGGGCCCTTGATGGAAGTGGCCCTTCCTGAGAACATGCCCAAAGTATGTGAGATGAAGCGTCACCATTCTGACTTCTAAGAAGCACTCGGGTTGCACTTCCTTCAAGATAGATTTGTTTGTTCTTTTAGCTGCCTGTGCTAGATTCAGTCCTCTTTTCCAACCCCACAACTCAGAGGCGTTGAATATTCTTTGGTCTTCCTTTTATCCTTTGTCCAACTTTCATGTGAAGTAATTGAAAATACCATGGCTTGGTGGCAGTTACTGTTATAATTATTCTACTGCTGCTGTTGTTATGTGCCATTAAGTCTGAATTGCCTCGTAGCTGACCTACCAGCAGGTTTTCAGATGCTGTGAGTTGCACAGGAAGATATTAATTGCCCCATCTTTGTTTTGAGGAACAACTGGTGGATTTGAACTACTACTGTGCTTCCACGAGTCTAAGGCAGCAATCATTTTCTTTATTTCTAATAGAGTTTTTCTCTGCTTTTCATTTTCCAGGTAAGAAGCCCACCTCTGCACTGTATATCACCGTGTTACTCGTCATTCCATTCATCGTTGCAGGTGCAATAATACTGCTTTTGCTTTATCTGAAAAGGTAAGGCAGCTGCCCCAGCAGGTTCTGCTGGTTTGATTTGTTATGGTTCTTACCCTGGGCTGCTGTTTTAGGTTTTGCCCAGTATTTCACATTAGAGTATCAAGAAGCCAAGGCTAGAGGACGAAATCAAGAAATTAAGGAGCTGAACAGAAAATTTCAAAGGGCAGCTTGGGAAGAAAAAGAAAGGTATTATAATGAAATGTGCAAAGAGCTGGAGTCAGAAAAGCAAAATGGCCAAACTCGCTCAGCATTTCTTAAGCTGAAGGAATTGAGAAACAATTTCAAGCCATGAATGGCAATACTTAAGGATGCTTTGTGCAGAATGTTAAATGATCCAAGAAGCATTAAAAGAAGATGGAAGGAGTATACAGAGTCACTGTACCAGAAGGAATTGGCTGACACAAGAATTTCACAAAACAACATATGAGCAAGAGTCTGTGGTGATGAAGGAAGAAGTTCAAGCTGCTCTGAAAGAAATGGCAAAAGACAAGGCTCCAAGAATTGACAGCATACCAATTGGCATATTTCAACAAACAAACACTGCCCTGGATGTACTAATAAGTTGCCAAGAAATCTGGAGGATTTCTGGCCAACTGACAGGAAGAGATTGATTATTTGTTCCCACTCCAAAGAAAGGTGACCCAACAAAGTGTGGAAATTATTGAACAATATCATTAATATCACATTCAAGCAAAATTCTGCTGAAAATGATAAAAAATATGACTGGAGCAACAAGTCCACAGAGAACTACTAGGGATATTCTACTACTATGGATATTATAGTCAATGTTAGATGGATCTTGGCTGAAAGCAGAGAGTACCAGAGGCATGTCTATCTCTGTTTCATTGACTGTGCAAAGTCTTTTTTATTTTTTAAGGTGTATAAACTATTTATTAACAGATGAGGCCTACAGACTTACTTCTTCTTGGACACACCCACAGTACGGCCCCGACGGCCAGTGGTCTTGGTGTGCTGGCCTCGAACTCGAAGGCCCCAAAAGTGGCGTAGCCCTTTGTGGGCATGGATCTTCTTCAGTCGCTCCAGGTCTTCACGGAGCTTGTTGTCCAGACCATTGGCCAAAACCTGACTGTATTTCCCATCCTTCACATCTTTTTGTCTGTTCAAGAACCAGTCTGGGATCTTGTACTGGCGTGGATTCTGCATAATGGTGATCACACGCTCCACCTCCTCTTCAGTAAGCTTTTCTGCTCTCTTGGTGAGATCAATGTCTGCTTTCCTCAACACCACATGAGCATATCTTCGCCCTACACCCTTCATGGCAGTGATGGCAAAGGCTATTTTCTGCCGCCCATCGGTGTTAGTGTTGAGTACTCGCAAAATGTGCTGGAACTTCTCTGGGATCACTAGAGACATTTCGGCGGCAGCAACGGCGGCATGTAGGACTGTGGTGGAAGCGACTGTGCAAAGTCTTTTGACTGTGTAAATCACAACAAACTGTGACCGACTCTGAGAAGAATGGGAATAGCAGAACATTTGATTGTGCTTGTGTGTTACTCATACTTGAACCAAGAGACATTCATCAGAACAGAGCAAGGAAACACTGTAGCGTTCAAAATCGGGAAGGTTGTCCACCAGGGATGTATTCGGTCTCCATACCTTTTCAATCTATATACAGAACAGATCATTCAGGAGGCTGGGATGTATGAGGAGAAATGTGGCATCAGGATTGGAGGAAGATTCATCAACAACCTGTGTTATGCAGATGACACAACCCTGCTTGCTGAAACTGAGGAGGACCTGAAGCGCTTGCTCCAGAAGGTCAAGGACTGCAGCCTTCAATATGGATGGAAGCTTAACATCAAGAAAACAAAGATTCTCACCACTGGGCCAATTGGCCGCATCATTATGCTTGTTAGCAGTTTTAGTTTACTTGGCTCCATAATCAACACTCTTGGTACCAGCAGCCAGGAAATCAAGAGACAAATTGCATTGGGAAAGTCTGCTGTCATAGACTTCTCCAGAGTACTGAAGAGTAATGACATCAGTCTGGAGACTTAGGTGTGCCTGATCTGGGCCATAATCTTTTCAATTGCTTGCTATGCATCAGAGAGCTGGCAATGACTAGGATGATAAAAAGATAATTGATACCTTTGAGCTGTGGTGCTGGAGAAGACTACTAGGAGAACAAGCAAACAGGTTCATCCTGGAGAAGGTGAAACCAGGTTGCTCCTTGGAGGCAAGGATTCTGAAGCTTCGTCTGACATACTTTGGGCATGTTACAACGAGGGACCAGTCCTTGGACAGCACGAGAGTGGGAGACGCTCCCTTGATGAGATGGATTGACTCAGTGGCAAGGGTACTGCAGGTAGGTGTGTCAGAGACAATAAGATTGGCACAGAATAGAGCAGGGTTTAGGGTTCTTGTACATAGGATTGCTGTGAGTTGCAAGCTACTGGATGACACATAACAACAACAATAACAACAGTAAATTATGAGCATTTTTAGCCATCTATTGCCTTGAATTGTATGGAGTGTCAAAGAAGGATTTTGTGCCTATTTTCTGGTGATGAAAAGGCTCACTTTGTTGCCTAGGATTCCGCCTAGCCACTACTCCCTTTCTGCTTGTTTAGAATTGCTGGAAAGCCTCATGCTTTCAAATGAAGGAGGATTTACAACTGGAGAACTTCAATTTGGGCTTGTTCCCAGGGAATGTTTCCTTTTACTTCTCTCACTACAGGGACTGGTCTGAGGATGACATTTGCTCTTTCAGTAAATGCTGACAGTTGGAATCCGCTTATGAAGTTGCATCCAGAACCAATATTTTAATATAATTTCCATTTCGGCCATTCAATGTACATTTAGTAGGTGCCAGTCATTCCAGGTGTTAGAGCTACTGCAGTGAACCAAACAGAGCCCCTTTTGGGTGTGTTCTAAACACGTTTTTGGAGATTTGATTCCAACTTAAGACAACTGTCATATACCGAAGAGTAGAATTGTGCTCCATAGAGTTTTCCATGGCTAATTTTTTCCCCGAAGTAGATCACTAGGCCATTTATCTGAGGTACTGCTAGGTGAACTCCAACTTACAGTCTTTCAGTTAGCAGCGGAGCACATTTGCACTGTCCAGGGACCACCACTTATGTTCTCAAAACAAAGAAACAAGGAAACCCAAACACACAGGCTCAAAACTCATTGCCATCCAGTTGGAAACGACTCATAGCTGACCCTCCTGCAGGTTTTTAGAAACTGTTAGTCTCACAGAAGGAGATTGCCCATTTTTCTCCCGCAGAGCCACTGGTACATTCCAGCCACAGTGGAGGTGCCATCTCTGGGTTAACAACAGTACAAACCATGATAGACTACACTGCCAGAGCTCCACTTAGGTTCTAGTGGGGAAATACATACACTAGAAAGAAAGAAATCATTGAATATGTAAAATAATCCTATAAAATCATCTCAGTATTATAATAAAATAGAAAAATAACAAGGTGTGGCTTGAGAAGAGACTAGGAAGTGAAAGGAGATCCATTTTACACAGGATGGCTGAAGATCTTCCTGGAAAAAGGACATCTGAGGAGAGACTCAGAGTAAAGCAATGAACCATTTAGATATTAGAGGAAAGAACACTGCAGACCAAGGGAACAGAAAGCACAGATGATCCAAGGAGAGAATGAGCTTAGTCTTAGAGAGTGTTGTGTTTGTGTGCCATTTAGTCAGAAACCAACCCATAGCTGACCCTCCAACAGGTTTTCAGAGGCAGTAAATTGCACTGGAAGAGATTGCCCATCCTTCTCCCACGTAGCAGCTGGGGGATTGGAACTGCCTGCCTTTGGGATTGAAGCACAGCTTCATATTACTAGACCACCAGAGAGATTAGAGATAAAATAGAGAAAAGAAGGAAAGGGGACTAAGGATTCGGGCTTCCAAGGGCACTGTAATGTTCAGACACCTGGGAGATAAGTTCAGAGACCAGAGGACATTGTATAGTTTAAAAAATGGGCAGGAGAGAAGAAGAAAAACTAAAAATGGATATCCCCAGTTCTCGGATTATTTTTCTCAAGCCTATTGTGTTAGTTGTGCTTATTTTAAGCACCATTGGTGTTATTATTTGTGCTGCTTACCAAAAGGTTAGCCGTTCACATCCATCTGATATCTCCATGGGAGATCGATTGGCAATCTCCTCCTATAAAGATTTACAGCATTAGAAATTGGTGCTTACTCAAAAAGCTGAACATAGAAATTCCATAAGACCCAGCTATTCCACTACTTGGAATATACCCTGGAAAACGAGAACTGAGGCACAAACTGAGATTTGTACATCAAGGTTCATAGCAGCATTATTCTCAACTGCAAGAACATGGAAACAGCCTAAGTGTCCAACCACAAACGAATAGATTGAGAAATTATGGTACATTCACACAATGGGATACTATGCAGCACGCAGGAGCAATAACTTTGTAAATTATTACCTAACTTGGGAGGGACTGGAGAGCATTATGCTGAGTGAACTAACTCAGTCCCACAAGGACAAATATGGTATAAAATTATTATTGTAGAATAAAGATCCAAGGGGGGGTGGGGACAGTGGAAGCAGAGGGATAAGGGTGTGCAGGGAGAGAGGAGATTAATCATGGGGGTGTACAATTTGAGGGGTGGGGGTGTGGGGGAAGTTGGAAGAATCTGTTTTCAAAAACAATGTATTCAAATTTTGTAAATAAAGTAGTGTAAAAAAGTCTGCTTGGGGAAGGGAAGGGAGGGAGAGGGGGTAAAATATGCAACAATGAATGAATAAAAATCTTCCTTTTCTGGAAATTTTTGTTAAAATCACAATTAAAATAAAACTTTTTAAAAAATAAATCTTGTGGAAAGTTGTTACGATTGGGAATTAACTTGATGTGGGTTTGGGTTTGGTTTGATGGCTCTTTTGCCTCTCAAACATGATGCTCTTAAGCCATTACTTTTTGAAGGGAGCTCTGGTGGTCTAGTGGTAAGAAGCTATACCTGCAATTCCTAAGACACATAGTTTGAATCCACCAGATGCTCTGTTGGAGAAGGAGGGGAAATCTCCTCCTGTGTCAGTCGGATCTGATTTGGTGGTACACGATAGGGAAATGGAAAAAAAAAAGACATTGCCTTTTGATTTAGAAATACTCCTTCATCACTTAAGATGATCTGTACCCCTTACCTTTCTTTTAAGCCTTTTAATCAGAAGTTCTAATAGCCTAGTGTGTAGGAAATTGTACTCCAACCCAAAGGAGAATGGTTTGAAGAAGATGAGCATTCTCCTTCCCTGCAATTTACAACATCTGAAAACCTGCTAGAGGATCATATACGAGTTAGTTCCAGTTCAGTGACAATGACTTGTTGTTTGTCGTCTTTTAATCTGGCTGTGTTAGGTGCATGTTTTCTTTTTTGTGGCCTGGGATGTTTGACCCCAAATCTCTCTATTTCCTTAAAGGCTCAAGATCATTATATTTCCTCCAATTCCTGACCCTGGCAAGATTTTTAAAGAGATGTTTGGAGACCAGAATGATGATACCTTGGTAAGCATTGAAATGTCTTATTAAAAAATGAAAGAAGCACTGGTTTAAAATGTTATATCTCAGTCTGAACACACTGGTTAAGAAGCCCCCAAAGTACATTGCTCTTCCAATGTCACTGACCTCCAGTCTCTTCTCTGGTGTGTTGTTGTTGTTGTCATGTGCTGTTGAGAGACTCATAACAACCCTATGTGCAGTAATAGCTCTGAAGCCTGTCCTATTCTGAGCCAGTCTCACTGACTCTGACACACCTACCTCCATTGCCCCAGTTATTCTATCAATCCATCTCGTCCAGTGTTTTCCTCTCCTGCACCATCTCTCCACCCTTCTGAGCATGATGTCATTCTCCAAGGACTGGTCCCTCCTGGCCATGTGCCCAAAGTGTATGAGATGGAACCTCAAAAATCTTTGCCTCCAAGGAGGAACTTAGTTCCACCTCTCAAGGACAGAGGCATATTTTATAAAAATGTGCAAGGGGAAGGAGTCTCTTTTATGAAACAAGCCAAAAGGGCAAGCTTTGATAAGTATTAATATTTGACATGAGGAAATATAAAGGTAGGTTGTGCACTTGAAATGTCTTCTATTTATGCTTCTCCCTGGAAAATAGGACTCCAGAAACATGGAAATAGAGAAAACCAACTCTTAGTTGTCTGATGTATAATGTGTGACTAGAAAAGGGCCAAGAAGGATTTGAATGATTTCACAAACTCCAAGAAGAAAGCTGACATTTTATCATTCTGAGACATGGAAGTGGAAAAACCCATCTTAGAGTTGTATCCTGCACTCTCAAGCTAAAGTTCGTGGCTGGGAAAGCCAAGACCTTATGAAACCATTTGAGATTTCTATGATAAATACATTTACTAGTGAACTGAAGTAGTGTTGTTGTTAGGTGCCATTGAGTCAACTACTCATCGCAACCCTCTGGACAATAGGTGGAAATCTTACACTATCTCGCACCATCCTCACAGTCTCCACCCCTGCGCACGCCCATTGTTGAAGTCACTGTGTCAGTCCATCTCATTGAGGGTCATCCTCTCTTTTGGTGACCCTCCAACTTTCCAAGCTTGATGTCCTTCTCCAAAGACTAGCCCCTGCTGACAACATTGTTGTCCAATGAAACAATAGGGACACTAAATGAATAAGCATCAGCACCACTGGCTATTGTCTTAAATGAGTAATCCTAGATGCAAACCAGTTCATTTAGGGAAGTAGCACAGCACAGCTGCTGGTGGCCTGGGCTCCAGAATCAGATTGTCTAGAGCAGATCTCTGCTCTGTCATTTACCATCTTTTTAAAATTATTATTTTTCTTTTATGTTGATTTGCTTACAAAGTTCATATACATTGTGTTTCACAATGTTCCTCATTCACATTGTGTTTCCTACAATCAATCCCATGCATTATCTTTTATAAAGTCAATCATCATTGGACTTTGACCATCATTACTCAGTCTTTTCAGATCCCCACTGGATCCTTCACATTTGCTTCCTCCACTCTCTCCACCCACCAAACTGTGCAACCCTGTGGTTCCACCCCTACCCATCCTCACCCCTCTGATCCCATCCCATTTACCATCTTTTTGACCTTGTATAGCTTCCCTAGTCTTTTCTGTGCTTTCATTTTTTGTTTTTTTTATAAAATAGCTCAGTAGTTTTTTTGTAAAGTAGGAGATAGCACCTGCTTATAGGGTTGCTGTATGAATTAAATGAACTTAATATGTAAAATCCACAGTGTGCCCGGCACGCTTATACTAAGGATGTTTAGTATCAGTGTAGATAATAATTGCCATTTATCTCTTTTATCCAGGTGATTCTAATAATAATGTGTGAGTCACAATGGCAATGATAATGATGGGGATAGAGGAGGATTTGTCCAGAGTACTTTCTCATCAAGTCATGGTCGTCATGGTCACAGACAGTGGGTATGCCAAGCCCTGGGGTGCAGGACACCCCTCGGCAGGTTGGCTCAAGCCAGGTTTCTTACAGGGAGATTATGCATAATATCTAAGGCAAGTAAAGCAACCTGTGTTTCTTCAACTTCAATTGAATCGCACTCAACTGGAATGCTTGTAAAAAGTAGAGATTACTGAGTCCGACTCCAGAAATTCTGATTCAGCAGGTCTGAGTGACTGTTGTTGTTCAGTACCATTGTGTTGACTGTGACTCATAGAGATTCCATGAACAGCTGATCCCTTCCCCATCCTGAGTCATTCTTAGGAAATCTCTGATATGCCCACGCTCATTGTTCAAGTCGTGGTGTCCGTCCATCTTCTTGAGAGTCATCTTTTCTTTCTCTCACCTTGCACCTTTCTACCACTTCCAGATCTCCGCATGATAAAATGCCAACCCTCTTCTTGGAGTTTGATAAAAAAAATTCTCTGAACATGTCTGGTCTGGGCTAGGGCCCAATGATTTGTATAGTCAGCATAAACCCATCTTGGTAAGACAGCCTGTGCACCTCACTTTGAGGATCACTACTTTAAACATTTTCCTGAGGATGATCTTTGTCTGTTTCATCTTCTCCAGCTTCTGTGGTAGCTACTGGAGCTTGGGAGTCTTACAAGTTCTCTAAGGGCTGTAACAAGTAATTGGAAGTCAGTACTAGGCAATAAATTAGGTATTTCACTTATGTTACCAAGTGGCTCATAATCACCCAATGAATCAGGTGCTGTTTGACTGTGGGGATCATAACAAACTGTGGCTGACTCTGAGAAGAATGGGACTCCCAGAACACTTGATCGTGCTAATGCGAAACCTATACTTGGACCAGGAGGCAGTCGTCAGAACAGAGCAAGGGAACACTGCATGGTTCAAAATTGGGAAGGGTGTACACCAGGGATGCATCCTATCTCCATTCCTTTTCAATCTATATGCAGAACAGATTATCCGGGAGGCTGGGCTCTATGAGGAGAAATGTGGGGTCAAGATTGGTGGACGATTTATCAACAATCTGCGTTATGCAGATGACACAACCCTGGTTGCTGAAACTGAAGAGGACCTGAAGCACCTGCTGCAGAGGGTCAAGGATTGCAGCCTCCAATATGGATTGAGGCTCAATGTCAAGAAGACAAAGATTCTCACCACTGGACCAACTGGCAGCAACAGCATGGATGGTGAAGAGATTGAGATTGTACACAGCTTTAGTTTGCTTGGCTCCGCGGTCAACACTCTTGGCACCAGTAGCCAGGAAATTAAAAGGCACATTGCCACGGGAAAGTCTGCTGTTAGGGACCTCTCCAAAGTACTGAAGAGCAATGGTGTCTCTCTGGAGACTAAGGTGCATCTGATACAGGCCATGGTCTTCGCAATCACTTGTTATGCATCAGAGAGTTGGACAATGACTAAGGAGGATAGAAGGAGAATTGATGCCTTTGAGCTGTGGTGCTGGAGAAGAGTATTGAGAATACCATGGACTGCTAGGAAAACAAGCAGATTTGTCCTGGAGAGGGTTAAACCGGGTGGCTCCTTGGAGGCAAGGATTCTGAGGCTCCGTCTAACATACTTTGGACATGTTGTGAGGAGAGACCAGCCCTTGGAGAAGGACATCATGCTTGGGAGTATGGAGGGACAGCACAGGAGGGGATTGATTCAGTGACTGGGATAATTGGGATGGGAGTGTCAGAGACAGTGCGATTGGCACAGGACAGAGCAGAGTTTAGGGCTGTTGTACATAGGGTCGCTATGAGTCGCAAGCGACTCGACGGCACATAAAAACAACAACAACAACAACAATTTGAGCCTCAGTGAAGGGAAGTAATTTAGCTGAAATGGTAAGGTAGGTTTTGAACCTGATTTCTCTTTCATCTCTCATTTTCATGTTGCTGCATTACTTATGTAAGATTGCTAATTTCGTCAAGTCTCTCACTGCCAATTAAGAATTGCTATACTATGGAAGTAGAAGGTTGGGAAAGAGGAGTTCTGACAAACTATGACCTTATAAGGGAACTCTCATGGCGTGACACAGTGATACACAACAACAAAAACAACAGCATTAAATGTATATACAAAATACTTAACATTTAATACATTAATGGTGGTATTGTGTATTGGAACCGACCCATAGCTGACCCTCCAGCAGGTTTTCAGAGGCAGTAAATCACATGAGAGGAGACCGCTCATCCTTCTCCCCTGGAGCAGCTCGTGGATTTAAACCACATGACTCTGAGATTATAGCACAGCTTCTTACCACAAGGCCAAATACATTAAATATGAAGTATTAAATACTGTCATTTAATACATAAATGCTTTAATATAATATTTACTGCATATATATCAAAGTAATACATACTATTACTTCTCCAAAGAAGACATCAGATGCCAAACACACACACAAAGAAATGTTCAAAATCCCTGGCTATCAGAGAGATGCAAATCAAAACAACTGTGAGATCCACCTCACCCCAGCAAAAATAGCAAAGTTTAACCAGTGCAGCAAACAATGCTGGGGAGATTAGAACTCTTGTCCACTGCTGGTGGGAATGTAAAATGGTACAACCACTATGAAAGGTGGTCTGGCACTTTCTCAAAAAGTTGGAAATAAGAAATACCTTTGACCCAGCAATTTCATGACTGGGAATATATTCTAAAGAAGTTAGAACCACAACTGAAAACAGATGTGTGCACACCCATGTTTATTGCTACGTTTTTCACAATAGTAAAGAGATGGAAGCAACACAAGTGCACATCAATAAACAAATGAATAGGAAAAACTATAGTATATTCACACAATGGAACACTAGCAGCATTGAAAAACAATGAAATAATAAAATATTATACAGTATGGGACAGCCAGAAACACATTATACTGAGTGAAATATCTCGGTCAAAAAAGGACAAATACTGCATAACACCATTGTTATAAAATAGGACTGGCATGGGAGGTTGAGGGAGACTAGGGAAAGAGTGGATAGATAATGAACACTGCATTTGGAACAAATGAGGGGAAGAACTGTCCAAAAGGAATATATGATTAGATATTATGTGTATTACAACAATCTGAAACAGG